TCATATATAATATTATGGTGTTACACAAATTACTATTTTCCCTAAATGCACACCCCCTCTAAATGCACGCCATGGTCCCAGCAGCGTGCACTTAGGGGTTTTCTCTGTATTGGACATAGTTAGTGAGATTACTTTGTCATTTCACTTTCACTAGTACAGTACTAGAGTCTTCGTGTCTCATTTACTTTTTTGAAGTGAGTTAGCCGTGGTGGATTATTGAAACTAGACGTCCTTTACTGTGTATTAGAATGGTTTTCAGTGATGAACAAATACCGTGAAAATTCACAATGAATGCAGGCGTAAAAAACTTGCGAGAGCCAATCAAATGTCAAGAATTGGTTCACAAATTATTCTAGAACACGTTTCCTTTTTTGGTATATTCCCCGACTGAAGTATCGTTTATAATAATGTCGATCAATAAATACTAACGATCAGTAAATGAAATCGAGTTAATTTATCGTCTATATATGGTGAAAGCGAACCAATTCACTTGTAAACAAGATTAGAAGAATGCTTGTAAGACGCGTATTTTGACCACATCTTATTGTAGACCAGATCTTATTTATAAATAGTCTAGCATAGTTGCATGGCCAGTACGAGTCTTCCACGTTTTAGTGCTAAATTGAACACAAGTGTAATGATAATCAGGAACTTCCATTTATGACGAGTCATATTTTATCGTTATCGCTATTAATAATATTATTTTGGTATTCGAGTTTCGCGATCTAAAATTTTAATTGACAAAAGATACATAATTATGTTGAATAAGGAATAAGCGTGGGACAATCATGTGGCCTGAATCTTTTTCCGCCCTGCAATAAAAGCAACCCACTTTAATAATGACCATTACACCATACTCTTGAACCACATACATTACAACATGACCACTAAATATGTCACGTTCCCAGACCTACAGCCCTCTGATCCACAGGGCTCTGATTTGCTCGCCGCCGAACGAGCACAAGCTACATTTCGACCAAACGATTTGGCTGTCTTCACTCACGGAGCCGAGCGAATAAAGAAATATGCTCGCGTTCAAAATATTATTGAGACGAATCCTGCGTTCGACAAAAGTACTCATTATTATCTTGGACGAGAGGACTTATATAAGGCTTCCTTAAGAAAGGAAAAAGAAATAGTTAAGCTTATGAGGTAGACTATAAAGAATTCGCGCACTAGTTCCATCCTGCAGAAAATCACCCGTTGTTGTTGTGACTTGGTAATATTAATGTTGAGTGATCCTTGTAACTAGAAAACATGGTTGGGGACTAGACGAATTTCAAATGGCCGAAGAGTTTTTAGATATGCCTTCTCAAGTTAGTACCGGACATTTTGTCGTTACGATGCGTTAATCTCAATAATCAAGGACGATATTGACATTAATCTATTAATGTCTAGTTTATGGCCCATCGTGGAATGTTTGTTCCTACTCTAATGGCGCAGGCAACGGATGAACAAAAGGAGGCGTTTCTCAAACCAGCTTTCCGATATCAAATAATAGGATGCTATGCACAGACCGAACTCGGTCATGGGTCCAATGTTCAGGGCTTGGAAACGACTGCTACTTATATTCCAGAGACGGACGAATTCGAAATCAACTCGCCTTATCTGACAGCTGCTAAATGGTGGGTTGGTGCGTTAGGTGTTACCGCTAACTATGCTGTTGTAATGGCTCGCTTGATCAGCAATGGCAAGGATCACGGTCCGCATCCGTTTGTCGTTCAACTTCGTGACTTGAAGACTCACAAACCGCTGCCAGGCCGCACTATTGGAGATATCGGTCCCAAACTTGGATATAACTGTGTAGACAATGGTTTCCTTCTATTTAATAAAGTTCGCATTTCCAGATTTAACATGCTGGCGAAATATGCCCAAGTAGAGAAGGGTTCCGGAAGATATATCAAACCTCCAAACGCCAGACTTTCGTATGGTACGATGGTATTGATGCGTGTTTATTTCGTACTTGCAGCTCGACGTGCTCTCGCACGTGCTGCCACTATTTCTGTTAGATATTCTGCTATTCGAAGGCAGTTCGTTGATTCGGAGAATCCTAAAAAGTGGAACGATGGGTAGGAAACTAAGCTGTTATATTTGTATGCATTCATATTCTATTAACGCAGGCTGCTTTTTTTTATTAACTCTGTTTTTACCCTTTATTCTCGTCATATAGGCGTATTATTGAAAGCCCAGTGATAGACTATGCTATTCAACAATTTAGACTGTTTCCCGTAATTGCACAAGCGTATGCATGCCAGTTCACCGGAGCTGCATTAAGATATCTATATGACACGTATGTCAAACAGAGCGAGAAAGGCGACTTCTCTTTGCTTGCTTATCTGCATGCTTCTAGCTCAGGTCTCAAGTCATTAACTACTACGATGGCCGTTACAGCTCTTGAAGACTGTAGGCTTGCATGCGGCGGACACGGCTATTCGAAATTCAGTGGATTAGTCACATACGCGCAGAACTATGCTCCAAATACCACCTGGGAAGGAGATAATTATCTTTTAACTCAGCAGGTAGCACGATATGTAAGTAACATTGCGACAAACAATTAACTGAAATCACTTTCGATATATCCCATCAGATTTGTTGATTATCCTTTCATAATACTATTCTTTAGCTGTTCAAAACTTATCGTCAGCTTACTAGTTCCACTACGCTCACGTCAGCAACCGACCCGACGGTCACGTATCTCCAACAATATCTCAACAATCCAAAATGCACTTGTCCTGCTAAGTCACCAGAGGACTTTCGTAAACCTGAAATCCAGCTCCAAGCCTTTGGTCATCGGGCAGCGTACATGATAGCAGCAGCAGTCGACCAACTAGACAATCATGGTCGTACTTGGAATTCTTTGCTAGTAGATATTGCAGCTATTTCTCGCGCGCATTGCCAATATTTGTTAGTATGTAATTTTGTCGAAGCATTACAACCAAAAGTAAACAGTCGAGATGATAAACTTTTCAAGGAGAAGCCGGAAATACGATCTGTGTTGACGACTTTACGTGATCTGTTCGCCCTCCATACGATGCAGAAAGAATTGGGTGAATTTCTTTCATCTGAATATTTATCTCCAACTCAAGCAGTGATGGTAAAAGATCAAGTGTTGGTATTGCTTAAAGAGGTCAGACCTAATGCTGTTGCATTGGTAGATTCATTCCTATTTTCAGATTATACGTTGCAGTCGGCACTTGGACGATATGATGGCAAGGTGTATGAGACTTTGTGTGATTGGGCTTCAAGAGAACCGTTGAACAGTGTTACAGTAGATGTCAATACGGACAGTGACACAATTTTCCGTGAAGAAAAGGTAACCTCCAAGTTATAAGGACTCGATATGCAAGAGTTGTATTGTCAAGGGAACTAATTTACCTCATCAGATAAACTATTGCCCTTTTTTTAATAACAACGAAGAACTATTTACAATGGATATTGCACTTATCACAATCACGCATTTAGTTTCTGGCTAGAAAGTTTACTTTCGCGTAATACGTATCTAATTTTTTACTGGAGATCAAATATATCGATTAGTGATAATAATGTATTGTTATTAGGCATATGCTAAACTCGGGAAATATCCGGCCAGCTAAAAGATTTGCTATTCATATGTTTATTTGTTAAAGAATTTAGTACAAACATCTTGGCTATGAAACAATAAACGATTCTCACCGTGCGTGTCACGTATGTGAAGGTGTTGATGCTTATGAATAAATTTAAAACTCGTATATCTTATTACAAGTGCACTCTCAAATACCAACCGTATTCGAGAGACTACTATTCTAATTACTGTGAAATCCAAAGCGGATGAACAGTTATTATGTTTTTATTTAGTTGAACGCGAACGTATAGTTATGAGAAATTTTATTATAGTCACCCAAAAGTTAGGTCCGATGATCAATTTATTGTATGCTTTATGCGAACGCTATCTATACGACTTCAACTAATTCTGAACTTTTATATGACCACTTTTTTACTGGTCTCCTCTTTTTTTGTTGTAACAATGGTAACTACCAATTACTATTGAAAAGTTCACGAATACTTTTGTAAATGAGTACAGACGCAGTCTTCAGAAAAATCTGTAACTATTACTATATTAATACTTACATCAACCATAGGGAAGAGGTTGTTGCATGATACTATGCAAAAGAGGTAACAGATAGCGTGCAAAAAAAAAAACCATCATATACTGATATCTTACTAATAAGATTCTTATGCATGTGCCTTTTTCTCTTTTAAGGTCAGAAGGCCAATCCATGATTTCTGAGACATTTTCTTTAAAAAAATTCTTAGTCATGCGACTAGTATGTTCGGGATCATTTTACCTCTGGGAGATGTTTTTCCACTATTTCAACGTAGAGTTTACTGTCCATTATGTCTCGAAAACAGAAAAGACTAGTCTTTCCTTTTATACAAAATCTGCCCCAAGCAAAAATCTTATGCCTGTCTTTTGGCATTAGGCGGACGGGCCTTGTATTTTTGTACTAAACAATTGAAAGACAGTTTCATCAGTAAAAATTGTCCTCCAATTGTCATTAAGGTGACGGCATGCTCATGTAAGCATTGGTGTTCGTAGTGGTAGATTTTTCTTATTATTATAGGCTTTGCTTGGTTATCGTTGTGGGATGAAGCTCCACACATTCTCAGCCAATTTTATAGGATTTTGCAGAAATAGAAGAATCCTGACGAACGTATTGACTGATTGCACGTGACACATCCCGTTTATTATTATGGTCAACACTTCCATTTTTCTCAAGCTTGTTTATATTATAATATATTGTACTCAATGGTATATGAGTACGTACAGGAGTGCAATTCAGAAGCATCACGTATCCCTTCGTTCCGTGAAGAATGGAACCAACAGAGTGACGCTTCTTAATGACTTTATCAATGACACCGACTTATTTACATAAACACAGACGAAGATTCAGAGGGGGATATACAAATATCGATAATCGACAATGTCGTCTTTGGAGATGCGTTGCAGAAATCCCGGGAACTAATAAAACCTAAACAAAACAGCAAACGGGCAAGATTAAGTTAGTTTCGGGATTTAATTAACAATTTGTGCGTACAGCGAATGACACATCTGCTGTTATTCAGGAGCTTTGGCTGGTGATAGGCGGAATGAAGATAAACTTTCTCCAAACATAGATATTAAGACGAAAGCGGGCAACGACGACAATGATATTGCAGAAGCGCCTGATGAAAGCATCATTATAGAACGTTTGCCAGAAGAAATAATACCCAACAGTTACACACCATGCGTTGTTCTCGACGTCAATGAAAACGGCTCTTGTCATAAAGTTACAAAATATCAACGCCCACTCATTCAATTGATTGGGACCTGGGAAATTGACAATCTAGCCTTTGAGAAAGCAAACGCTCTCCATACACTTGGCGCATGTTCTTCACACTATTCGTACGATCAAAATAAATCACATAAACGACACATAAAGCGGAAACAATACATTTCGTTTATAAACGTCGATGCCTTTTCTGTAACAGGTATAAAACTTTCTTTAGCCGCGGGAAGACATGCATACAACACGCTGTTAATATTTCAGGAAAACACGACAAGTTCCGTGCACCGGTCTTAAATCCCGTCCTGTTCTCAATACGAAAGGTCTTCCTGAAAACATTCCTGTTCAGAAGGATGACCACAGTTTATTTGTTCACAATGCTATGTTATACAAGGCGGTGACATTTCATAGGAAAATTGGTAGTGGAAATAAAAGTGATATTACATGCAAGGACAATCACAGCGGCGACACACTTATGATTTTCAGTAGATGGATTGCATATATTTGAACTACAGATGAAGAAAAAAATAACAGTTTACTGTTATGTTTAGTAAGTTAACAGTGCCGCCAGCAGGCTGTGCTAGTCCATTTCTCATCAAAACTATACTAAAAATAGGACACATTGATATTGATAGTTTTACATCAAGACCAAATACAGTGCGCGAAAAAAGTTTTTGGAATAAAATGCATAAACTCCATTTCCTTCTTCTAAAATACGCGTCTAATCACTAATACGTTTTGTGCGTTCTATTCTCATGTATGTAACACCAACAAATAACTCGGTTACATAGCTTTGTAACTTGCGTCATTTGTTTTATTGTTTACACTTTTCGTTTTGTTATTAAAAATACAACAAAGTTTGATTGACTACTACCCAACAACAGCGTTGCGTAATTAGCCCAAGGATAAAAACTATTCTCTGTTCGATTCTCGAAATTTACCCATTTCCTCGTGCAAAGATTTCACGAGTCTTGGAGCAACTTCATTGTGCAGGCGAAGAATGGACCGAGAAGCGCATCCACACCTATTGGAAAACCATAGAAATACTCACCAATTGCAATAGGAATAGAAATATAATGACAAGATGTCATCAGTTATAGTATGTTCATAAATCAGTTATGCCTTAGTTAAATGAGTATTATCATTCTTTATACATACAAGCTAGAGTAGGTTGTCATGCATGTTATAATAAAACTTAGAAAGTCGGTGTGTATAAATAATATGTCTTTTCCTGAGGCTCTAATTGGTTTTTTTTATTGATCGTGTACAGAATGGCGAAATAAAGTAAAAGTTTTTTCTCTAAAAATATCTTAAAAACAGTGTTAAATTTATGCAAATATTGTTGATAAACTGTAACTTTCTGTTAATATTAATGAAGTCTAATGCGTTTAGCGTCACTGTGTCTGTGTTAGAATTTTGGCAGAAATTCTCTTGCGTCGCATGGTAATAATTAAGAGTTGTGGTTATATTTATTAATATACCAAATAATCGCTTGACTTCGCCGGTATAAAGTAAAACTTTTAACAACCAACCCAACCCATATACGTGTGTAATGCTAAATTTCTACTTGACTATTTGGACCTTATCTAATACTAACTATTTATAGTTATAGATCGACCAAAATTCACTATGTTCTTATTATTATTGGTGAAAAGTGAAAAGTGAAAGAACGAAGAAACTTTTTTTTTAAAATTGCATTTTCGAATGTTGCATTATCTGATAGCTTTGAAATCGGTTTGATCTGCAACGAAGCGTTGTAAAACGAACGAATTTCTTTCGATCTACAACAGAAATTCTGGCAAAAAGGCCATGCAAGCTTGAATTCCACTTCAACATCGCTTTACCGCCTATTTTACGGTACGGAGAACTTTCATGGCCAATCCACACGGTTCGCTCTTATATATTTGAAACTCGATTAGCGATTTCTTGATTTAACGGAGAATCCTGCGTCTGTTGTAACATGCTTTCTGTTTGTGGAATAGTCACTATACGATTCTCCAGAACATTACTGTCTTGCTATTAAACAGATTATCAAATTTCCTTTTGCGAAGAAAAACGGTCAATCATTATTACGTAGCATAATCAAACTGTCAAAAATTCATTCATTTTTTATAATGACAAAATTGCTACATTCGTTCGTATAATCTATCTTTAAAAGCATTGCAATTTTCCGAACAATAGAAATAAGAATAGCGATGAATTATCCCCAACAAGAGGAATAGATAATAACAGCATAGTGTTCGAAATAAATCTGGCTATGCCATCACGAGCTGGTGTCGTGACGTCTGAATATCAGTAAATTCGAAAATAACGAAGACCTATCATCAGTAAAGAAAAATATCTGTTTGTATACCTACTAGGACAGGTAAAGCGTCACAGAATCCATGCTGACAGGGGTCTACACACATATATTTTGAGTCATTATTATGGTGAAGAATTGGGTGTATTTTTTTTTAAAGAAAGTGCGAAATACACTCACTGGCCAAAAGTATTTGCCGAAATCTGCTGATCAATAGTAAAGCATATGAAAAATCTATTTTTTCGGAA